AGTATGGACTAAAACCTCCACAAACTGTAAGTGAAATAAACCTTTCCTTCCTTAATTTTGGCCGTCAGATATTTTGTCCCAGCAACGAGAGAAAAGTAACCAAGACAAGGGTTAAGTGGGAATCGCCCAGTGAAATGTGCTGGGAGGGCTTGTGGTGCGTGCCTAGTATGGTAGCACTAAACCAGATGAGGAAGGATTGTGTGTTCAAGGCTGGCCTGTGTCATACAGCCAAACCATCACAAAAAAAATGATGTAAAAAAGAAAAGGTGTTAGGGTAGGAGAGGGACTGAAATAGAAAAGCTTTTTTCTCTCTTAGGTGGCAAGGATAAAGAAGCTAAGGGAAAATAGGGCAGTTTCAAGCAAACAAAACTCCGAGCTTGGGGTCAGGAAACTGGGTTCTAGACTTTGTCTTACCACTTGTGAGACATTGGGCAAGCCATCAGAGGCACAAAACCACTCTTGGTGAGATGTACTTTCTGTTACTATTCCTCTAGATAGAGGCCTGAGATAGCAATTAATATGCCTGCTAAACATGTACTTATGTTACAGTGAGCAAAAAAATGTTAAAGTATGACACTTTAAATAATTCCTTTTGGTTCTAAACTCACCTGTTTTCCTGGTAATTAACTCTTCCCTTTTTAGTTTGAATTATGCTGATGTAGGGGAAAGAAACTCCCAGCCTGCTAGATGTTGGGTATGAGTTCGTGTTCTCTCAAACTGAAGAATGAATTCTAGGAATGATGGTGGTTAACAGCAGAATATATTTATCAGGGAAAGAAAGCTTCTGTTTGAGAGAGATAGAAGGGATCCCAAGTGGGCTGCTGAGGACCCTGCCTTTTTAAGGGATTTTCATAGAGAAAAACTATGAGGTGAGGTGGGTCCAAGGTGGGGAAAAATGGGGAATCACAAAGTGGGCATGAGGTGGGACAAAGCTATGTGCAACCAATAAGATCATGAACTTAACTGCTCAGGTAGTACTGATTAAATGGGGATCAAGTGGGGAAGGAGTTATGGAGCAAGCGGACATGAAACAGAGCAGGGGCTTTTCCTGGAGCGGGTGGGTCAGTGGCTCTTCTGGTTTCCCCAAGGTGGTAGATACCTATTTAGAATATCAGTCACTGTTGTTTATCCTTAGAGGAAGTACATGGTGCATTTATTTCATCTTTTGTCATGAGATCTCCTATGTATCCCGTCTTCTGGATTGGCTCCTTCGAGGGCCTAGCCCTGTCTGACAGCCTACACTCTTTCTACCTAATTTAGCTTTCTATAATAATGCCATTTAAGATTCCTCTGCAGTCATCCCAAGTTGAAGGCTATAAAAAATATTTATACTGAATGTACTTGAAAGTGTCATTTTGGCCCTTGACATGCTGTGCCAGCAGCAATTTATTACAGTTGAGAATTAGGTGAGTGGTAGTTGGCCAACTCAGTGAGTCATAAAACCTGCTAATTAAAGTTGGAGAATGTTTTTTGGTTCAGCTTCACTCTTAGGTAACGTCTTCATAAATTCTAACCTTGATGCTACTGTTTGGATTCAGTAAGAGAGGGAAACTGATGCCCCTGCTCTTGCTTGCTGTGAATATGCTCATTGGAAAAAGGAAAGCCTTTCTGATATCTAAATCATTCTCTTACTAAGCATTTTCTCACATTCAAAGATTCAAACGGGGGTTTTATATTTGTCCATAAAATACACAGTTCTCAAAATGTCATTTCCTCAGAGTAGGTTTTTTTTTTTAAAGTTTCATTCTCTTACTTGTTCTGTTTTTCTTAATAAAAATCCATATTAACACCTATTTTTCTTAAAACCGGACATTTTCTGTAAGGTTTCATCTCTGCTTTATGTAGTAAACAAAGGGAAAAATACTGGAAAGAATGGATAGTCTTCCAGGGGTGACAGTTGGTGTTTTAGCACCTGTTTTTACACCTGGGAGACAGGATCTAAGGTGATTAAAATCTCTATTGTTCTTTGAATGGACCAGATTTTATACTTAATCCTGTCTTGTGTTTGTCATTCACTTTTTCCATAAAATAAACTGAGAAGATCTTTTCCATGGTGAGAGAGACAAGATTAAAAATTTGGTCCCAATTTTACAATATTGCTATGCTTTTTTGAGATATGATATAAAATGCATTTTCCTGAAATTATGGAACACTTCTTATTTGTCCAATATTTAAGGAAAATAAAGGGGCCTGTCTGTAGGTACTTAGCATATATTGTCAATAATTCTAGGGTCTAAATCTAGTCCCAGAGGGAATTTATTGTTTCCTTAATTGGGATGTTTTCTTTTCTTATGGGAGAATAATGCCTTCCTCCCATACTCTGTTCTATTGTATTGTAGTGCAAAAACCAAGTGTGACCAGAAAGCTTTTGAAATGCCTAACAGAGTTTTCTTAACAAAGGGAATATTAAACTACATCTACTGAGAGTTAGCAAATGGAATCTGATACAGGTCAAAACAGTGACCTTAAATTCATGTGATTTATTCCTTTAAATATGGTTTTATGTCCCTTATATATTTTGTCTGTACCCTTGTTAAATACAACATAGAAAGGTAAATTTTTCCAAAAGTGTGATCGATTGTCTCAACTACTGTTCCTACTGAAATTTTGCTCATGCTCTCCCTGTGGTTTTTTTTTTTTTTTTTTTTTTT